TTTTTTTTTTTTTTTTTTTTTTTTTTTTTGTTATTTACAATCATATTCACGGATTACATTGTATTTGGCAGGGTAAATCGAACGAAGAATCCTCTTAACAGAAGATGGTGAAAGATGGAGACCTAAAAGCAAATAAAGGTCAGTTTCAGTGCATGAAATTCATCGTATTATTTGCATACACAAACTATGCACAGTACTCACAATTTTACGTTTAAATTTATGAATCTATTTGATATAAAATTGGAATGTTCATTTCTTATAGATTAATTGTTTATTAGCAGTTCACGTACTTCAAGTTAAGTTTGGCTCAGAATGGACGGGTGTCACTACATAAGTGGGAAGGTTCAAGAAGTTGGAAGTCGACCATATTTAAGGTTAAACGTTAACTCTGTCCATTATAAGCTTGTTTAGAATGACGTTTTAAGTGTTAAAAAAAACTAGTTTTTAAGCGCTTCAAAACTAAAGCAAGCTCGGGCCCATTGGCTTTTTCGTTTTTTTTTTTTTGTCAGCTTGGATTTCTACTCTCAAATGGAAAAGAACTGGCGAGCTTGGAGGAACTTTCCTTTTAGTTTTCTTCACATTGGCTTACTCTTTGGGAGCAGAACCCAATTTGAGTGAGAACTGCAACCACAAAAGAGGCGTCCAGGTAGTAATTTGATGAATTTTTGTGAGCGTGGGAATATTATTACATACAATGATGTAAATTATTTGGTTTCAATTTATGCATTTTATTTGTGTCTGGTGAACAAATATATACTTTAAGTGTACTTTTTTATTCAGGACAGATTCACTAAAAGTCTATATTTCTATGAACAAATCTAAAATGGAGGATAGAATAGAATAGAATAGAATAGAAATGCACCTGATAGAATAGGAACGGCTCGTTCGAACTTGTTTGGTTATATTTTGGTCCATTATGTTATGGTTAGTTATATTAAAACACGGATGTGATGTGGCATTGAAAGTAAACTTGCATCAGTTCAATTTTCATATATATCATATCAAACTGCTATCTCTTTAATATAGATGACCAAATTGCTATTATATTCACATGGGAAAATGAAAGATTTCTTACCCATGAAACTAGATTTTGCTCCTCATCAGGTCTTAGACGCTTGCTTTCTTGTCTTATTATGAAATATTTTTTAAAAAAATAACCCAACTGAATGTTGGGAATATTATTCTAAGTCACCCCCAAACCAATCCGAAATTTTTAGTCATGTGATAAGCATGATTTTATTAAATAATTTAAAAAAAAAAATGACCTGTCAACATTGTTTAAGTCGACTTTTTTTTTTTTTTTATCATATTTTTTATTATCCATTTTTTCTAAATTTGAAGAACTAATAGAGCTTAGAGGTTAAAAATGAAGAACTAAAATTCAATAAAGAATAACTAAAAGTGTTGAACTAAAAGTTACGAAAAATAATCTAATAAATTTAATTCAAATATTTTAGTCTTATGATCGAACTACTCTATTTGTGTAGATAAGTTATGTGTAAATACGTTAATTAGCAAAATACAAGCTTGACAACAAAGGAACACAACCTCCTAACTCAACAACGAGCAAATCGTGTCAACAATAATCAAGAAACAAATTTATCATTTATGGCTTCTCATGTTGATGGTTTATTGATAGTAGACACACAACACGCACGTGAGTAAAGATATCGATCTTTTTAACCAAGTTGATAGATCTATAAAATGTAATGTCGTTTGTAGACATGACATGTTATTTATGATCTACAAGGAGTAGAGATTGCAATGGTCAATCATGGTTGCTTTCTTTTTTAATGAAGACTTTTTATGTCATCATGCTCTAAATGTCAAAGTGGAAAAACGTCGTTTTTATCACATTATCAAATTATTTTCGCCCAACTTCACATAATTTTTAAAAGAATGGATAACGGCCACTTATCTGAATAAGGTTATATCCGAGAACCAAATCTAGTTAGATTATTGAGAGATTATGCAACATATAAAATAAGTATCCAACAATATAAACAAATTCAATAACCTTTTTTGTGCTATAGTTGAATATTTCTAACAGATCTCTCATGAAGAACTCCACAATTGAAAAAAATATATAGAAACAACCACGTCAGAAATCCTATAACTTAGAAATATATGAACAATGACCTTTAGCAAGTAAATATATATATATATATATATATATATATATATATGTATGTGTATATATACACTTTATATATATTCTATGAACAAATGCAAAATGGAGCATAGAAATGCACCTGATTTGATGAAGTTTGTGTAAAATATTGACGAGAAGGACCATTCAGTGCATTCAATCAAGCTTTTGAACCACTTTTGGAGCCTGTCATTGTCAGTATATCCAACGTCAAGGGGTGAAGACGAGCCTCATTATAGCTTTCGAGTGTGATTTCTATCGTATCTTCGACCACCATTAGGCTTCCTGTCAGAATCTCTGTTGTTTCTTGGAGGTGTAAAGGCAGATGCAGGGGAGCCGTGGGGTATGCTCGTACTAGGGTTGTATCTTTGGGAAGCAAGATAGGAGAGAGCCGTGACGACATCGGCGATCACAGGACGCATATTTGGCTGCTCTTGGACACACATTGCTGCAATTGCAAGAGCCTGATACAAACCCCTTGAAGGATGTTGGCCTCTAAGCATTGGATCTGCCATTTGTGCAAATCTCAGACGATCATTAAACAATGGTCTTGCCTGCAACAAAAGGATTTATATAATAAGTGTGAAATATTTTGCTAAGTCTTGTGGTTTTATTTGAAATTCCACATCGGTTGAGGAGAACAAAACATTCTTTATAAGGGTGTGAAACCTCTCCCTAACAGAGAACAATATCTGCTAGCGGTTTAAAACTTGAGTGGAAGTGCGAAAAGAAAGAACAATATCTGCTAGCAATGGGCTTGGGCAACTAAATGTCCTGTTCACATTAAAAGGCCTCGGGCTAATTTTCTTGTGCTGTCCTGTCAACTCTATTAATATTTATCTAGACAATTAATGTAGATGACCATATTCGTAGAAACATGTGACTTAAAAGAAACAAAATAAAAGTTCAGAGACCAAAATGTTAAAAGTAGTCAACTATGAATTTTATTGAGCACACAGCCTATTTATACCATTTACCTTGTAGGACAAAATTTTCCAGAACTGAAAGATGATGATATCTTTTCAACTATTCTTACCTCTGAAGTTGTATAAAAAAAAATTAAAAATCCCAAGAATTTCGGGACCTTATAAGCCTAAAAGTGTCGTCATATTACCAATTTGAGCACAATTCAATTAGTTAAAACATACACTCAATCAAGAGTTTAGAATAGGATTAAATGTAAGATCTCTTACCCATGAAACCAGATTTTGCTCCCCTGCAGCTCTTGAATCATCGATTGCCTTCCTGCCTGTTATGAGCTCTAGAAGAACAACGCCGAAGCTATAAACATCTGACTTGAGAGTTAACTGGCCAGTCATTGCATATTCGGGAGCACAATATCCATAAGTACCCATAACTCTGGTAGACACATGAGTATTGTCCCCAACAGGCCCAAGTTTGGCCAAACCAAAATCAGACAGCTTGGGATGATAACCTTTATCAAGCAGAATGTTGGAACTTTTTAAATCTCGATAAATAACTGGTGGGCTAGCTTTATCATGCAAATATTCCAATCCTCGTGCTGCCCCAGCAGCTATTTTCATTCTAGTATTCCAATCTAGTACTTTTGTGCCAGGCGAAACGTCTGCAGAAGAAGGTAACAAAGAGTAAGCAGGGGAATTTTTCTATGCAGTAGCATATTCAGAGCATGTAGAAATTTCTTTACCATGTAAATGGTCATCTAAGGATCCTAGAGGCATATATTCATATACCAGAAGCCTTTGATCTCCATCAGCACAATAACCAATCAGATTAACTAGATTTGGGTGATGAAGTAGGCTTAACATCAACACTTCAACGAGAAACTCCCTGTTCCCTTGCAACCCATTTCGATCGAGTTGTTTGATTGCCACTACCTACAACGATCGAAAAGAGAGATTTTAAGTTCTACATCCAATTTCCTTTCGAAGTACCACAAACTAAAAGGGTGAACCAATAGTTTAGACCCTTTGAACTGAGAAATGATAAGCTGGAAAAATTCAAACTACATAATGATTCAAAAAGAAAGGGAATTAATGGATAACTATACAACTAATCTTCCCTTTTGAAACACCGTTGTGCTGTAAGAAACATTACTGACCTGATTGATGCTTTCCAAATTTCCTTTGTAAACTCTACCAAAGCCTCCCTCGCCCAAGAGACAGTCTGCCCGAAAATTCCTGGTAGCTGCGGCCAACTCCCGGAATGGAAATATTTGTGCCTTTATATGATCAGATCCTCCACCTTTTGAGGGTTCTTCACTGAAGGAGGAACTTGTTTGTAGGTTCTCTGTAGAATGAAAAAACAGATCAGACAAGAAACTTCTGAAAATTTTATAATAGCCACTGGATTTGGTTCTCATGATAGATGTAACCTAACAATCTCCTGTATAAACTTATCTAAAGACCAAATCAGAAATAGTCGCTATCGAAGAACACAAATCAAAGAAGCTCGTGGATATGGTGTAGTCCAAATTAATAAATAGAAAAATAGCTCGCCACTGGATTCTATTTGTCAGGATCCGATCGTGTATTCTGGATCAATGCGATATAGTATTATGCTATATTCAAACCGTCAGTCTTGAAATCGCCATTGCACTGAAGAAGTTACCATACAGCTTCAATGCAGAGCAATATTCGAACTGGATTAAGAAAACCAGATGGCAGATTAAAGTACCGTCAAACTGGATCGTCAGACGATTACTAAAAGTGCGTTAGCAACCATAAATCCCGCAATGCAAATCAGATGTCCAACAGTTTCACTAAACATGAATCTGGTTTAGTTCCATACTCTACATAAACGTAGCTCGTTTGAAAATCAATGGATCACCAACTACATCGCTAATCAAATTCTACAAAAACCAAAGTCAAAGAAGGAAATCGAACGAAGGGATTCCAATTATAACCATTGCACAGATTAAGCTAACGAGTAACAGATTGAATCAAAGAAGAGAGCAAGAGAAACGCGTACCCAAAGCAGGTTTGTTCTTCAATTTCTTGGACTTGACCTTCCTATTTGAATCTCCAGAACAAGGAATCCAAATCATACTTAATTCAATCTCCTTTCGCAGTCTTTGACGAACTTCAGCAGCAGCATCCAACCAAAAAGAGGAAAACTGTTGCGAACAGTATCCCCAAAATTCCGCGAATCAAAGCCAATAAAGCCACCAGTTTCGAAAGCTCCGAAGAACTTGAATCAGAAATGGCCTTCCGCTGTCTCCCTGAAATGTTTACTTTGTCGTTTCCCGTTTACCTTTCTATCTCTCTCTCTTAGTCAATATATTTCGTTTTTCCTTTCACACCATTTTCCTTCGCAAGAAATATTGGTTAAATAGGCTATTGGCCTCAAATAAAATAAAATAAATTAATAATAATAATAATAATACATACATACATACATACACACATATACACACACATACATACATACATACATACATACATACATACATACATACATACATACATATTGATAGCAAACCCAAACATAATAGGAGCATACACAAGTTAGGTTGAGTTGAGTGGGAACAATTTTTCAGACCAACCTAAAATTTTAGATTAGTTGTGTTGGTGAATACGAGTCATTAGGATAATATTCACAACTCGACTCAATTTTTTCATTTTGGAATTCGAGTTGTCACGTGATTATTTTCTTTATCACTGG